GGATGACATTGTGATCTGTAGTGAGAGCAGAGAGCAGGTGGAGGAACACCTGGAAAGGTGGAGGTCTGCTCTGGAAAGAACAGGAATGAAAGTCAGTCGTAGTAAGACACAATACATGTGTATGAATGAGGGAGAGGGAAGTGGAACAGTGAGGTTAACAGTGAGGATGTTGAGGTGCCAGGCAAGAGGTCAAGAGGAAGGCCAAAGAGGAGATATATGGATGTGCTAAAAGAGGACATGAAGTTAACTAGGGTGAGAGTAGAGGATGCCGAGGATAGAGTTAGGTGGAAACAGATGATTCGCTGTGGCGACCCCTAACAGGAACAGCCGACAGAAGAAGAAGAAGAAGAAGAAAGAATAATACAAACACCAGTGTCATGTAATAGTTGGGTGGCTAATTAACCATGCACCAGGGTCAAGCTAGTCCAGCTCTCCAGACGTGATGTCAGGTCCGCTCGGCGCGACCTGCCTCTCTTCTGCCTTTCTCTCTCCTGCTCGCTCTTTTAGCAGGATTAGCGCCTCAGCTGTGTCGCATTTTGTAATTAGTGACTTGTGGGTTGTCACGCACAGCTGGGTCGCATTACTGTAATCACCTTCATACCTTATTTAAACCTATGGCGCACGCTCCGCCCTCGGCGAAGAATTAACAACTGTAACTAACAGTAACTCGCATACCCCGTGACAGACCTTTGTTCGTGGTATGTATTGTACGTCATTTTGTTTTCCACGCTGACAGTCCCTGTGCTGTGGATCTCTTTATGTTTTTCCCATTAGGTTAGCTAGACGTTCTTTTTGGTATCCACGCTGACAGTTCCTGTGCTGTGGATCTCTTTATGTTTTTCCCATTAGGTTAGCTAGACGTTCTTTTTGGTATCCACGCTGACAGTTCCTGTGCTGTGGATTTCCTTTATCGTTAGCTAATCCTCCTGGGTAGTTTGTTTTTTTCACCTGTCTGTCCTCATCCTCACTCTCCTGTTTTTTCCGTTAGCCTGTTTACTCCCCTGGTCATCCTGTTCTCCCTAGCCGTATTTGCTCAGCCCCGGTTGTATGTGTTCCTCGACTCAGTTCCTTTTTTCGTGTTTCCTACCATTAAAACCACCTGTTTTACTAGCACCTGGGTCAGCAATCTTGAGTCCTGCCTCAGTTCCCCCTCACCCTCCTGGTGAGGGGGACTAAACCATAACACGCGAGTACAGTGAGGAAGTGGGCTGTGTTATTTCTCTTAAAGCACATCGCAACTGTTTAACTGCTCTTCCTTAAAACTGAATGAATAATTGGTTAAGAATAATTGTGAGTAAAAAGTGATAAAGAAAATCTGTGCTAAATATCAATTGGGGGGGGTTCCTGTCAGGTTTGCCCGGCTGCACCTTCCTCTCTTCTCTCTTTCTCGCTCTAGTCTGCTCCTTCTCACGTACTCTCTTGATTAACACACCTGTCCTGATTTTCTGACACTCTTCTGCTGCGCCTCCTTTGTCACTCCCTATTTATACTCGGCTTTACCTTCACTCCCTTGCTGGTTCTTTCACCGCCATCTCATCAGGGCCAAGCCGCCAGGGAGCTTATGACCATCTGTCAGGGGGCTCGTCGCGTACTAGACTACTCTGTGGATTTCCGGGTTCTGGCTACGGAGGCCGGCTGGGCAGACGGCCCGTTACGTGCTGTTTTCTGGCACGGGCTTAACAAAAACATCAAGGCGGAACTCAACACACGTGATGAGCCCTCTAGAGACGATGTTTTCAGATTTTTTAGGTGTCATGGTGTTTACCTAAAGTTGTTGTTTTTTTTGTTTTGTTTTTTTAACTGCTGAGTGTGTACTCCAAGTGTGTCTACTCAAAATATGGGAAGTCTGGGCTTGAGACAGCAGACAGTTGATGGAATATTAAGGAAGTAGAGGTGTCAGGCCTCCCAGGAAAACTCAAAATGTGGTGCTTGCGGTTTGGTCTTTTGCCATGACGGTTATGGTCACTCACAGTGTATGACGTACCCACCTCTAAGGTAGAGAAGCCAGATAGATAGAATGTTTAGCACGTACATTAGGAAGTGGTTGGAAGCTCCGCGCGGCCTCAGCAGTGTGGTTCTGTACCAAGAAGGGAATTTGGAGTGCCCTATAACCAGTTTAACTGATGAGTTTAAAAGCACTAAAGCTTGACTGGAGCTAACACTGTTAGAATCCAGGGATGTAGCGGTGCAGAGCGCAGCACCAACAGTCTCAACAGGCAGGAAGTGGAACCCAAGGAGGCAGCGTTACAGGCTCATTCAGCTCTTAAACACGGGGACATTGTAGTACAGGTACAGCATGGACGTGGTGATTCTAATTTAAGCACATCAAAAACTTCATGGAGCAAAGCAGCAGCAGCTGACAGAAGGAAGATGGTTAATGAGGAGATTAGGAGGCAGGAAGATGTGCAAAGGCAGCTTCCCAGGCAGGGACAGTGGGTGAGATGGGAAGAAGTGGAAAGGAAGAAACCTTACTTTTATCACTTTAATTTTGCAGCTGGTAAAGGTGGAGCTAATGTTAACTACCTTATATACTTGTAATTGAAGTACTTTACATACTGCTAGGTAGCTTGTGAATTTCTCACCACAGATCAATAAAATCCGATGATGGTACTGTGTTCTGCTTTATTCATATGATGAAAGGAATGAAAGATATCAAATACATGTAGTGCTGTAAAAAGTACAAAATTGTATGCAGTACAAGTATAAGTAAGTGTAAGTATAAAGTAGCAGAAAAAGAAAATACTGAAGCAAAGTACAGATACCTCAAAATTGTACTTTGTCTGAAAATGTTATAAAATAGTGAAAAAGTCATGCTATCGATTTCTAGAGCACCAGAGGACGTCTGAACGTCTGCTTGGTCTCAAGTGAAATGGGAATCAGTGTGTTATCTGGGGTTATTCAAATCATTCTCATGAGTCATTTGACAAATATAGTAACACAGCTCAGCCGGGATTCAGCACGATAATAGTCCTGTGTTAAAATAGTTCATGGGGTTGCACCAGTGCTGCTGAATGTACCAGTGAGTCAGTGCATTTAAAGGCGTATCAGTCTGTGTAGCATTTATTTTATCTTTGTCATGAGACAAACAGTGGAATACATCATTGATGTTGCAAAGTCCACTAGGAATGTGCTCTTGCACACATTTTAGCCTAAACAATTATATTGATTATGTCATGTTGTGCTGCAGCTGAAGGTGAGCTTGTGTTGTTTTGCATTAGCACTGCTGTTGCACAGATTGACTGGCTTTGTTCACTTTAATGAAGAGAATGCACTTTTATTTCATGCAGAGTTGAATTTGGTCTGAACCATATTGTGGATAACGATGGACGAAGCATCACCACTTCCTGCCAATAGGATAAAACATGCATGTTTTATGACCTTCTAAGATACTGTTCAAACATGAAATTACAATCAAACATAGCATAAGGCTACATACCGTGAGTCCACTGTGGTTCCACACTACTCATTTGTATCTCCTCTTTGTATTCTTTGGTCATATCACAGAACTTCCTCATTGTTTCTTACTGTAAGCTCCATATCTTCCTCTCTTGTCTGGAACAGTTCAACTAACCCTTAATGCCTCTACCTTAAGCTTCTTCCTCTCTGAGAAAGCCCCTACTTCCTGTTTTGGTACCAAGCTATCCAGTATAGGATATGGAATCTTCATCCCATACTGGATTTTTATTGGGATTCTAACTTTTGCCACTATGCAAAAGTGAAGCCAAAATATTGAGACTACAGGGGCAGCCATCTGGTTTTTGTGATGCATTTGTGTGTGTGTGTGTGTGTGTGTGTGTGCGCGCAACGCCACCGCCACCAGAGGTGGAGCTACAGTATCAGGCTGCAGATCAAAGCTGTCAATCATCATTTCATTCTGGGGAGCTTTAGATCTGCCAACGTTATATACAGATGATGGCAATGGACTTAATGTACATACTGTGTATTTACATTCATCATTTGTGTCATAATATTAACTTTAATAAAATTAAAAAAAACTTTTTTTGATGTTTCCTGAGGAACTGTTTGAGCACATCAGAGTCCAAATTGTCTTGTAGTCCTACATAGAGTAGACTAAGTGTTTGGCATGACAGAGAAATGAAAATGAACTAACCGTGGTTATGGCAGATATTATGCTTGTCAGTTTTACAACTTAGCGCTTATTGTAAACATTTGTAAAAAGTGAGATTTTGCTTTTTTGAAAGACTATGCTAATTAAATACCATGACACCAGAATTTAGAAATGTATATTTTTTTCAGACTTAATGCTTTTGTGTCACATTCAATAATACATGTAGTACTTTTGAGTTCTGAGCTGTTGATGAGACCAAACAGACGTTCAGACGTCCTCTGGTGCTCTAGAAATTGATAACATGACTTTTTCACTATTTTATAACATTTTCAGACAAAGTACAATTTTGAGGTATCTGTACTTTGCTTCAGTATTTTCTTTTTCTGCTACTTTATACTTACACTTACTTATACTTGTACTGCATACAATTTTGTACTTTTTACAGCACTACATGTATTTGATATCTTTCATTCCTTTCATCATATGAATAAAGCAGAACACAGTACCATCATCGGATTTTATTGATCTGTGGTGAGAAATTCACAAGCTACCTAGCAGTATGTAAAGTACTTCAATTACAAGTATATAAGGTAGTTAACATTAGCTCCACCTTTACCAGCTGCAAAATTAAAGTGATAAAAGTAAGGTTTCTTCCTTTCCACTTCTTCCCATCTCACCCACTGTCCCTGCCTGGGAAGCTGCCTTTGCACATCTTCCTGCCTCCTAATCTCCTCATTAACCATCTTCCTTCTGTCAGCTGCTGCTGCTTTGCTCCATGAAGTTTTTGATGTGCTTAAATTAGAATCACCACGTCCATGCTGTACCTGTCCTACAATGTCCCCGTGTTTAAGAGCTGAATGAGCCTGTAACGCTGCCTCCTTGGGTTCCACTTCCTGCCTGTTGAGACTGTTGGTGCTGCGCTCTGTACCGCTACATCCCTGGATTCTGACAGTGTTAGCTCCAGTCGAGCTTTAGTGCATTTAAACTGCTCTGTTAAACTGGTTATAAGGAACTCCAAATTCCCTTCTTGGTACAGAACCACACTGCTGAGGCCGCGCGGAGCTTCCAGCCACTTCCTAATGTACGTGCTAAACATTCTATCTGGCTTCTCTACCTTAGAGATGGGGACATCATACACTGTGACTGACAGACGTTTGAGTTTTCCTGAGAGGCCTGACACCTCTAGTTTCTTAATTCCATCAACTGTCTGCTGTCTCAAGCCCAGAATCTGCTCACCAAGAGCTGCATCACACCACTTACCTAAACTTTTGACTGGCTTTTCTAACACTGTTGGAATTGGCTCATCATTTATACAAAAGCTTTTATCCGACAGCACACCTTTCGCTGCGGTACATAATACTGTGAAAAGATTCAGGGATTCCGGGAAATCCTATACAGAGATCCAATTCCTAAACATTATGATCAAACTTAACCTCAGTCTACACAAAAGGTCTAATGTCAAAATCCTCATTAATGTATAAATCAATATGCCTGACATTGCTTCTCTAGATCCCCACACATTAATGAAGCTGTTTTAATACCAGTGTGTCATTTTGAACTAATATTGTGTCATGTCTTATTTAAATGTGCTGGTACTGGACTTCTTTGATCTACACATCTGATGCTAGATCTGTGGTCAATAATGCCTGTGCAAGAAGAGCAAGAGGTTTTGCCAAAATAGGTGAAACCCCATGGTCACTTTATCAAATAGACTACATGTGTAGTGCAGCAGGTAATCACACCACCAATTTCATTTGGTACCAGACCTGTTGGTTGGTGTAGGACTTGTCATGGCAACATGTCCATAATCTCAAGCCTGTTTGGGAGCAGCTTTGTTCTCAGGTTTATTCTATGTAAACAAGTTAACAGCTCAGCTTTAAACGGGTTCAGAATAGTAAGTCCATACAAATGCGCTGTTCTTAAGTGAGTGACCCACTAATATCAGTGCATTTATAATAAAACATGAGTTTAGAATAAAGTACTGTGAACTCAACGGGGCCCCTTTGGCCTAATCCTGACCCATTCTTACAGTAGCATTTTAATGAGGAGGGAATCATTTCTTTAAGTGAAATGTTAGTGCCTCATATTCAGGGCCACACATAGAGGACCCATGCTCCTAACACCGCACAGTCATTAGAATGCATTGCACTCAGATTTCTTGAAGTGGCTGAAATGCAGGAAGTTGAGCATCATTTGTGAGATATTCTAAAAGTGTATGTGCCTCTGAAACAGACTGCCTTCTTCCAATGTGCTTCAGAAACAAAGGGATTTTCTCAACAGCTGTGACTCATGAAACCTCAGTCGTTCTCAAAGCTTAATATACATTTGTCACATACAACACAACACTGAAGCTAATCAGCAAAAGGATACACATCACCCAAAACCATTAGCTCATGTTTCAACAGTAAATCATTAGGTCACTAAATAAAACGACAGTCAATGATGCCATAATCATTAGTTCATTAGTGATGATTGGAGTAGTATTTGTAGTTTACAGTCATTTTCATATTGTCAGTAGTGAGAATAACTATTCTGTTGTTGTTGGTCAGATTTTAGAAGCAGACCTGAGTCCAGGTGTTGGACCTCTTCCCTCCTCCAGCATCCTGATGGTCGAAGTGGACAATGTTCAACATGAACAGTTCACTGTCACAGAGGAGGTCAAGGTATAAAACGCACATTCTGATATGTAGCACATTAGGGTGGTAAGATGGCAATTTTCATACTGGAATTTGATTTGTGTTTTGATTTTGTGGCAAATGTGATGATACAAATGGTCTTACTACAGAAGAAACACTGGAAAACTAGAATCTTTGTGTGTGTTGTACAGGCACTGACGGCAGAGATAGTGAAGACAATCAGGGACATCATTGCACTGAACCCTCTCTACAGGTCAGTCCTGACACTTGTTCTGCTTGTCACCAACACCAACTGTGCATTCTCCTCTGGCCCGTTGAAGCAGGAAGAACAACAAATTCACCAGTTGAATGGTCTCCTCATAATTTATACTTTACTTGTGTTAGTGGGGCCCACAAAGTCAAACAGCATGGAAATTGTCTCTTTAGTGTTGCTCTAAAGTTTGAGATAAGCCCAACGGTGATTGCCTTAGAGGGCTGTGTCTATACTCATAGAGTATGGGGTTACGGTACACATCCAATGTTCTGAAATGTGCTTATTTGTGTGTACACTTCTGTGGGGGCTGTAAGGGAGTCTGTCCTTCAGATGATGCAAGCTGGTCAGAGAGTGGTTGATAATCCTATCTACCTCAGCGACATGGGAGCGGCTCTGACAGGAGCAGAGTCACATGAACTACAGGATGTCCTGGAGGAGATCAACGTAAGCAGTCCACTTTGCATGCTTATGGGTTCTTTTTGGGACTGTCCTATTCCCTGTGTTGAAGCACCGCCTGCTAGCATGCGAATAAAAAGTTATAGCCATTCTGGTTATAACAAGTTCATGTTTACGAAATTGTTCACCTTTAAAATGTGAGTTTTCTCCTTATTACGACATAGGCTACTGTATTTTCTGGTAATAATGTGAGCCCTACGCAGCTCAGAGCAGGTACAGTGCACATGCTCACATTGAACAGTAGCCTACCTTAGCTCATTTAGTTCAGCAGCTTCTCTCTCATCAACACTCCCCCATACCAACTTTTCACCCAGTGACAGCGTTGCACGTAGGAGGTGTACTCCCGTCCGTGAGAATCTCCGATCTGACTCTTAAATCCATGCACAATAATTAGCCCACAAAATAACGTATGAAGGCAGCTCATGACTTCGCCCCGTCTGTGTGGGTTGAAGATGGCTTATAGATTTCCATTAACAGTAAATCATGGAAATCTGTTTCTTGACCTGTTCATTTTCAAGCCAGAGTAAATTTTAAGGACTTCATTTTATCACATTGTATGTCAGGACAAAAAAAACCTAACCTTGAAGTCCATTAAACTCTGTTAGACCTCATTGATAAAACTGTGGAAAGGCATAGCTTAGGGTGGAGATATAAAACCACTTCTTATGCTTTGTGTTCCTAGGAGCGCAGTGGTCTCTTTGTGACCTACCCCTATAGCATTATGCTATGAGCGTGGTTCACAGCAGCAGGGAGGGAGAGAGAGTTTAGAAATAAGACAAAGATGAATGCAGCCAAATATGGAGATGTTTAAAGAAAACGTGCTCCAGAGTACACAGCCTGAGACTGGAGCGACAGCCTTGACAGCACTGGAGTGGCTTCAGTACAAGTCTCTGACTATCCTTGAGTTGCCCAGCCAAAGCCCAGAGTTAAACCCCTTACTAAATCTGTGGACAGATCTGAAGATGGCAGTTCACAGACCCTTCCCATCCAATCTGACACAGCTTGAGAGGATCGGTGAGAAAGAATGGGGATAAACTGCCCAAAATAAAGTTGTGCAAAGCTTTCAGAGACTGACCCAAGAAGACTTTTTAAAATACTGAAGGAAGGTGTACATTAATTTGGAAAGGTGAGATTTATTGCAAGTGTTTTCAAAAGGTATGTTTTGTTATAAGAGGAAAGACTTCAACTTCTGAAAACTAGTACACAACTGCTTCCCTAAGCTTTTCAATATATATGTTTACATTTTATATTTAGGTTCTTCATTACTGCTGTACAATGTACAGGCCTTTGACACCCGTTGCTATGTCTTTGCAGATCCCAAAGCGTCTCTACAAGGCTCTGTCTCTACTGAAGAAGGAGTACGAGCTGAGTAAACTTCAGCAGCGGCTGGGCCGAGAGGTCAGGGGTCATCATCCAACATGTATGAGCTTTATCCTTCTAGTACTGTGATTGTCATCCCCAGTCATTCATTTGTTCTGTTCTGCTCAGGTGGAAGAGAAGATCAAGCAGACTCACAGAAAGTACCTGCTACAAGAGCAACTCAAGATCATTAAGAAGGTAGAATCGACTGTGTCATCTGTCTGCCGCTGTATCTGTCCGCACAAACATTCCACCTCTTAAAGCGACAATAGAGATGAATCCAAAATCTAGCTCATGCTAGCATGGGACTCTAGAATCAACTGCCTTTGCTTTGCCCCGCCCTTGCTCTCCATGCTCGCTCCACCCTGCTCCGCACTCCACCCAACCCTTCCTGAACATAAAACCGCCACACTGTCACGGTTTGGAGAGAAATTCACAGTTAGCTGACAGCATTTAACTGATGTTAAAATAATGTATCTCACCGAGGTGAGTGCCCTGCTTCATGTCTACTATAAACACAGCACAGGTGTATAGGAGGTGTACAGGTCCTCCATGGAGGACAGGCTGGCACTGATGGTTGTTTCTGCAGTCCTGACTGTCCTGTGGAGTCTGTTCCTGTCCTGTTTGGTTGCTGAGCCAAACAGGACAGTGATGGAAGAGCAGAGAACAGAATTGATGATTCCTTTGTAGAACTTTATCAGCACTTCCACATGGGTTTCATTTCTCAGCCTCAGAGATTACCACTTTGTTTGTGCCAGCAGATTATTACAACCACAATTAGCATGATATTGTTAGGTGACCTCTAGAAACTGTAGTAAATGGCATCAGCAAAGAGTGAAGATAGGTTATGTATTTACTGAGACAAGGTTTATGTTCTTTCTCACAAGAGACCAGTGTATGATTCCTGTGTGAAGTTTTTTTTTTAATTCATGGCCATTCCACAACTTTAATTATTTGTTCATTCCTGTAAACATGACAATAAAGGTTATTTTAGCCCAAATCACGTTTTATTTTTGAAACTTAACCAAGTAGTTAGGTAGCAGTAAAGTCTCCTGTAAATGATCTCTATTTTCCTGCAAGCGCAAACTCAGCAGAGCATCAAATGAAGTCTTTTTGCACATTTCCTTGGGTGCAAGTCTGTTTTTTTTTCTTTTCCCTTCTTGCACATTGGTGTGTTTGGTATTTGTCTGCCATGAATAAATGTGCTTATGTTGAGGTGGGAGAAGAGGAGCATCTGAACTTGTGTTTAGGCAACAACATGTAGTTTTGCTGCTTATTTTGACTCAAAATTACATCTGCATTAAAACGTGCTCAGGCCCAGAGCATATGAGTGGAGTGGAGTGATGAGAATTTCTCCTCCTCGTTCACAGACTTGTTTGCCTGCTCCGCTCAAACTCACACCAGGCCGCTCCACTCATCATCACTTATCACTCAACTCTGATCGCACCCACTTACTCCAAAAAAGGGGAATAATCTGCATCTTCTTCTTCTGTCGGCTGTTCCTGTTAGGGGTCGCCACAGCGAATCATCTGTTTCCACCTAACTCTATCCTCGGCATCCTCTACTCTCACCCTAGTTAACTTCATGTCCTCTTTTAGCACATCCATATATCTCCTCTTTGGCCTTCCTCTTGACCTCTTGCCTGGCACCTCAACATCCTCACTGTTAACCTCACTGTTCCACTTCCCTCTCCCTCATTCATACACATGTATTGTGTCTTACTACGACTGACTTTCATTCCTGTTCTTTCCAGAGCAGACCTCCACCTTTCCAGGTGTTCCACCACCTGCTCTCTGCTCTCACTACAGATCACAATGTCATCCGCAAACATCATTGTCCACGGAGATTCCTGTCTGACCTCATCTGTCAACCTGTCCATCACCATAGCAAACAAGAAGGGACTCAAAGCCGATTCTTGATGTAGCCCCACCTCCACCTTGAACTCCTCTGTCTGGCCTACAGCACATCTCACTACTGTCGTACTCC